AATTTATTTCTTTCGCCTCTAAAAATATTCATAACATAAACTTATTCCCACCAAGCCACAACGAGAAGTTTCTAATTTGAAACTCAATTTTTATTATGTTTGTCATGACTTTTGATAAATTGCTAGCATTATCATAAAAGTTATTATTTTTATTTTCAATAATGCTTGCACAACGAGAAAGAAAGTTTTTATTGCCATTTTAGTCTTTTATACTGCTGATTTTAGTGCTGTTCATATTTGTCATTTTGAAGTGCAAGCAGTGAGCAAAGAAAGTTTATAGTTTGCAGGGTTGGCTTTAGGGCTAGTTTGAGTTTTGAATATTTTTTGACGCTTCAAATTCAAAAATCAAAAATCTGTTAAAATTCAAAAATCAAAAAATCCGTTGAAATTCATTATCAAAAGTCCTCCAAAATTTAAAAATCAAAAATCTGTTAAAATTCAAAATCAAAAAACCCTCAAAATTTAAAAATCAAAAAGAAAAAAAAAGAAGAAAATTCAAAATTCAAAATTCGGTTAAAATTCAAAAATCAAAAGTACGTTAAAACTATTTTTGAATTTTCAGACAATCTTTTTATGATTTTTCAAATATTTTTAAACTATTAAATATGATAATAAATTTCCAGACCGAAATCAATTTAAATTATACAGCATTAATGTTCAAAAGCATGGAAAAACTTAATAAAATCACAGAATCCACCACAAACCTTTTCAAAAAAATGAGCATCCATAAAAATTCATAGCTGCTCATAAATGTAAGGAAATCAAGGTGTGAGAAATGTCCATTGTATCCATGAATAGCCACTTTTCTCATTTACTTCCTCGCTCCCCCCTCATTTCTAAATGAATTGAAAAATTATGAAGAGCGATGTTGGACAATGACAAGGATGATAGTAATCGTGTGCTTCCGTTGCACATTTTTATAGCTTTATATCACACATTCACATAGGATAAGAATGGATAAAAAGAGATTCTTTCATGTCATCCATTAAAGCATGAATTGTGTGAATTTATGTTAGCTAATATAAGAACATAAACGAAGGAGATGCATCAATAAAATATGCCAGAGCTACATATAATAATATTTACTTAAGGATTTATTAATGTCATCATAATAAGAAAAAAAAGTCTCAATAATAATATTGTGTAAATATATTAAATTATGAATTTTTTTTCGTGTCATAAAAATGTGTGTGGATGCCTTTAAATGGCGCAGAATAGGCATTATGATACATGAGAGATAATTTCTTTTGTAGAATAATAAATGGAGATAGAAAGGAGTTTAGTGTGAATTGCAGGGGCTTGGGTTTAGTGAGCAGGTGATGAACTGGGGCTTATATGGTTTGATGACTCAATATTGTACCTGTTTAAGTATCAAAGAGGAAACAACATGTTAGGAAATGTTTTAAATGGAATTGAGGAAATAATTTACAGTCCTGGCCGGTTCTGAACATTGCAATGACACTATTGGATGTCACGTGACTGTTTCTTCAGCTTCAATTCAATTTCTTGGTCTGTATCTTAATCCAGCGTTTTTCAGATGCCCAATATTGGCTTAATCTCGTACATTCAACAGTCGAAGGATCTAAACTTCTTAAAAAAGAACAAATTTGAAATTGACTGGGATCGAACCGGCGACCTTCGAATTACCAAACCAAATTTGAGTCAAGCGCTTTACCAATTTGCCCAGCAAAACTTTTAACTGCTTAATTATTGCTTAACCTAGCTACAACTACCTTTTGAAAGACTTATTTGTTGATTTTTTCATTAAAGTCTAACCAGAGAGGTAGTAATGGGGTTAGCGTTGGTTTTATTAAATAGCTAGGTTTAGTGTCAAAATACCAAAAATTCATTGATTCTGTTTTTTTAATATCTTTAATAGCGTTGTTCTGAACCAAAGCTCGAAGTCGCTCAAATTTATTTATGGAGTCGAGTCGAGAGTAGACTCTGTCATACAAAATCGATGAAAATCTTGAGTCGACTTCGATATCTGTTCTGAACTATCTCACTTCATCATCATCAGATTCCCCAAAAGTCAAATATCCAAAAATGTCTACTAAAATTTCTCAATAAAGTCTTATAAACTCCACCCACCCAGACAAAACAAATCCAGAAATCTCATCACTTTCTTTCTTAATCCTGCGCCAACACAAGAAAAAATATCGATACTCTGCAAACAATAAATGAATTATTAAGGAGGAAAACTCGTGGAAAAGCAAGAAAGTGTGAAATTAATGTGATGGAATAATAAATATATATTAATCTTCTTTCAGCTGTGTCATGTATACACTCACAAATAATATTGAACATTGTATTGACGAATGGATATAGCTTATATTTATTTTGTTGATGTTATGAGAGAATTTATTGAGGTGTTTATTCTCTTTTTTTCGGTACTGAGATAAATATGGTGCTGGAATTTATGAGACATTTTGAGAACAAAGAAGATAAGTTGACAAATTTTTAAGGTTATTAGGGGCTGTCTTGAAAAGTGACATGAACTGCAGAAGATTTGGACATTTAATGACAATTTGATATTAAGGAGTGGTGTCTAATGAGGTTTATGAGGTCATTTCAGTTAGAATCAAAAGCAGACAGACTGTATCTTATTGTTTTGTAATCAGACATTTGTCAAAGTGCGGTCAGGAGACCTAGGTGTGCTAGAACTAGTACTAGCATGACCAGGGTGCCAATAGAAGGCTAATACAGGATGAAAAATGGTAGCAAATAGGAATCGAAGTCAGAATTTTTCCCCATCACGTTGTTATCCCCTTGGCTAGGTCGAATTTTAAATTTAAAGCCATTATAATGCAGTCGAGTTAATTTAACTTTTTGAAACAGATTTAGGCAAATCTGAGTGGGCATCAAGCGTTGGTATTGACATCGTTGAACCCCTTTCCTACTTCCTGTATTCAGCATAGTTCAACATCCCCCTTCAACAAGTTCCTTTAATTCACTAAGCTCATTACATTTTTTTTCAAGAGCCATAAAAAAAATCTGCTATTTACATCGACATAATCGTCTTTAACATTTAATTCCATGATCATGACATTAAAGCTCTTTCAACATTCTTAAAACTTTTTCTTGGCCAAGCATTTTATCGCTTTCCACTTCCAAATTCTTCTAGAAAAACTTTTTTTTTATTATGAAAATATTCCCATGAATAAAGTTATAATAATAAGACTTCATTCTCTCAATGGAGCCTAACTAGTTTATTCTTACTTTATGTTTCTAACCCTTGTCAATGCGGAGTCTATGAATTCACTGAAAGAAAAAAAAGTTTCACTTTCCTCACAAATATGTTTTTCCAATAATTTTTTTTCGGCTATTCAGTGCTAAAAGTTTATGCTGCTATTTATATGAAAGCTTATGTTGTGCTTTTTTTGAAAGCTCATAAATTATTGATGACTTTCCTTTCAAGGCATTACATGCATGACGTTATATAGCACTTAAGCTGAAAACGTAGAATAATCTTACATTCAATTGCATGTATCATGGTGTTTAAAAGAGTTCCACATTGGCAGGATGACTTGATGGAATTTTTCGTTGGATTTATGGTGGAAAAATATGATATTTTGAAGGGTTTGATGTAGAATTGACTTAATAGGGGCATAGGATGCATGTTAATAGATTGAGATATTAATGACAGGTTGAGTGGCGTATGGAATAGATTTTTGAAGAAAATGTTCTTGCAAGAATAAGGAGCTTAATGAGAATTTTAAGTTCCTATAAGTTTTAACAACCTAGGTCACCGCCAGCAGTCATAACCTATATTCAAATGCTAAAAAATAATTTTTTTTTGACAAAGTCACAGTCATAGCCATTTATTGCTGTTAATATAATAAGAATCGTCATTTTGACTATATTCGGACTCAAGTGGTCACTGCTGCATCGAAATTCAAACCAATAAAACTTCAGATAGAGCAGAGGTGTCCTTAAAGTACCGTGTCAATACTGATGTGACATTCAACCAAGCATGTGGCTCGATTGAGAATCGAACCTGCGTATTCAGTCGTCCTCAGCCAGAATAGCCTTAATTTACACTTAGGGGCTGTTCACTTTTTACGTAACGTGAAAAAATGACTTTTTAGACCCCCCCCCCCCCTCGTAACAAAATTTGTATGAAAAAAAATTTCCTTGTTTGAACCGTAACAAAATCTTAGACCCCCCTCCCCCCCTAAAAGCGTTACGTAATAAGTGAATGGCCCCTTATTGATTCACGCACTAATGGTTTGAATTCAAATATGTCAAGCACACTAGTAGACAGAGACTACAGCAGTCAGTTCCTACATTAAGAGATTATATTCAATTTTGGAATGACCTTCCTACATGAATACAACTGAATTAATCAGTAAATGCATTCTTAAACCTGTTAAAACCTTTAAATAAGTCTACTAAACCATTAACCTCCAATGTCTCCAAAGAAAACTCAATTTCCCTTTTTTGTTCATCAAAAAAACTGTGTCATTAATTACAACAGCTATAAAAAAAAGACACCAAAACTTTCTCCTTAATGAAACGAAACTAACGTTGAGGTTGTAGACGTACAAAAGAAGAAAACTTTTAGTTTGGCATTAATTTTGACATTCGTACTGGGAAATATAATAATTGACAACATTTTCAGCTCCTATAATTTCTTGTTAGTTTCACTCTTGGGAAAATGAAATTATTTGCTAGATTGAAGCTTATGAAGAAGACGACTGCATTGATGAAAATGAATTGAAATGTGAAAAAAAAGTTCTTGAAAGCTTTTTTTTGTGCTGCATTAAGAATAAGTTAATTTTGAAGTGAAGTTCTGCATGAGATACTTCAATAGAAATTGAACGAAATTTTCTCATGCACTAAAGTCTTCACAGACAACACAAAAGGATTTACCTGAACTTTACCTCAAAATACAATTTTTTTGTCTCTCTCATTTTTACCTCAACTTAATCTTATTTTTAGTGCTATTTCTATTCATTAAATATCTTATTTCTTATTTTTTCATGAACAGGAGAAAGACATAAAAAGGAGGCAACAATGTCCATTTCAGCATTCAGAAAAAAGAAGCTCCTATACGTCTTTAACGTATTCTTCGGTAAGATACAAATTTTTCTTATTTCAAAAATTAATTCATTATATGATATCCTTGAGTAAAGCTTGTGCTGTACGTACATGTATGTACGTATTTATTTATATGAGCATAAAATATACAAAGATGAGAGAAATGGATACGAGAATGAATTAATACAATGTGCATGAGGATGAAATGTTATTTTTAAAGACTTTTATGACTTCAAGGTCTGGTTATAGTCAGTCTTTGGGATCATTAGATTGAAAGATAATGCGATTGCTGACTTGAGGATGGTTTGAATAAGATTATCAGATAATAAGCTTATTTTAAAGTAGGTGGGGTAGGGAGAGATGAAATAGATCTATTTTGAGAAGCTTTGAGCATCTTTTGACTAAAACTTGTAGAGGCTAGCATTGTGGATCATCTGGAGCTGATTTTTAGGGGGACATTACTTACTTTACTGAAATTATGTTCCTATGTGGAGCTTTGGTTACAACAAAAGACCTTTCATCTGACTCTGTTGCTGGATCTGTCCACTAGTTTGTTCAATTTGTCTGTCCGCACATTAAGCTGACATTCTTTCATCACTGTTCTGTGCCATGTAGCTTTTGGAGGTTCAGGGCGTCTTTTTTCTTGCGATCTTTTAGGGGAACATAAAGTCTCAGTACTTATTACTACAAAATACTGCACAATATTATTAGGTTTAGATCAAATGTCATTGTGAAATGGTTAGGGTACCCAATGTGGTCCTTAAAAATCAGCTCCTTTAGTGACTAAACTTCATGATAGCCTATTTCTCATATTATGGCATCTAAAGAAAAGTTTAAACAGAGACTGGTTATTGGGTATACCTTAGTCATACTCTAGCCATATTGGAATAAATTATTATATGACCGGAGTAGACCCTAATAGAGTTTGAGGGTTACCCACATTGTACCCAAGTTTAACAGTAGTTTTAAAATAAATTCCCAAACTACAATATCTCCCTATGATTAATACTACAAGAAACAAACTAAAACTACTTCGAAAGACCAGCTCAATCAATTCTAAAACCTTCAACAAGTCCAAACCTTGCATCACGTTCATCTCATCTCCTCTATTTCATTCATTGTACTCAAACGAATGTTCATATGCTCATATATTGTGGAAGAAAGTCATTAGTTATTTAATGCTAAAAGAATTCAACTCCTTAATGCTACTTTGCCATCTCCTTTCATATTTTCTTCTTATTTCTTTCTTTATTTTCCTTTGCAGACATAAATAATAGTGGCGAAATCGACAAAAAGGATTTCGAGATAGCAATTCAGGTGAGTAAAAAAATGAGAGCATCAACAGTCGTTACAAATGGAAATAAAGTACAGAATAAGAATCTTAAAACACACATACACGAGAAAAAAAACCGAGAAGCTTTAAGAAATTTAAGATTTGTAGATGAAAAAGAAGATAATGTACGACATTTGGGTGTGGATTGGATGGTTTTATGATCGAAAGTGCATTTTCTGGCAATCTTTATTTTATGCATGCTGTGAAAATAAAAAATAACAATTCTGTGCTTTTTGGGAGGCTGTGAATTAATGAAAAAAATATAAGAAATGTTATTTTTGGAAAGGCTGAATGAAGAAAATATTTATAAGCTTCAAGGGGATATGCGGCATTTATTATCTTACTGAGAACGAACAAAGGATGAACTTTTTGAATTTTTTAACAGTTTTTTTGAGACAACGGAGAGAATTTTTTTCGGAGGCTTTTAAAGAAATGTTGATGTTTTGTAAAGAAGTTGAGAAATGGAGAATCTTAAAGGTATAGTTCTAATATAGTGTTTTTTTGTAGAATAACAATCAAGGATTTTAAGAAATAAGGTATAAGATCATGATTAAGTCAAATCTACAAATAAGAAGTAGTGGCTTATTCGATTGGTAATAGCATTTATGATGAACCATTTGTCCATTTGGGTTCGAATCCCATCAGAATTAAAATTAATTTTCTGTTTAATGTTAGCATGTTTTTTTGCATTTTTGTGACATAATTTACTCTTTTATGCAGCAGAATGAGGGGGTGGGGACTTGGATTTTTGATGGCGTCCAAAGCCATGCTCCAGTTAAAATTACTATGTGCATAAGGTTTACTAAGTCTGACTGTTAATACTAAGATCGTGATAGCCATAAAGCAGGGTAATTTGGGGTCAACACCCCCCCCCCCCCGCCCTCTCGGAAAATTTCTTCAATTTGCTAGAGTTTTTGAAAAAAAAATCAAAACCCCCCCAAAATTTTCCCGCCCATATAAAAAATTCAACCCCCCCCCAAAAAAAAATCTGGCTACGCCCCTGCCATAGAGAGATAGAGAGATTTTGAGAAATCTTAAAAACTCTATGTAAAGCAAGACACCATAGTAAGTGTAACGTAACATCCAAAAAAGCTTAAAGCTAAAAAGCTCAAACAAGCCACTTAAAAGCATCCAAATTAATTGTTTTCCCAACAATCAGATATAAATTCGACCTAATTACACACCCACTTTCAGTAAGACAAAATCCATTATTTATGCTACAAACGCAAAACAAGAGATAAAATTAGAAACAACAAAAGCCTAAAATTAATTCATCGTTCCACTGATTAAAGAATTGTTTCTTTTATCTTAGGAAAAAAATCTCTTTTTCTGAATTTCTACAACAATAAAGTTTCAAGCCCAAAAAAAGTTTTGCTCTTATTTCCTCTTATGCTCATTAATCCGACTGTTGAATGCCACAACGAATGAGTTAATTTATTTAGCAACAAAAGATAAACTTTAAAAATTATGTCCACAAACATGCGAAACAATTGAAAAATTAATGAGAATGTGTGTTTTGGGATATAAAATTTCATATTTTATAGCCGGTGTATGCCTCATTATTGTACTTTTGACCCTTTTTATCCAATCTCTTCATTTCAACATTAAAAATACATTCGTTCCTTGTTTTATATTAATGAAAAAAATTTCCTCTCTTTTTTTTGCATTTAGAAAATCTGTGACCTTCGAGGATGGCCAGCTGGAAGTCCAAAAAATACTGAAACCCATGAAGTTATGTTTAAAATCTGGGAGGGTTTGCGGTCAAAGGCTGATAAGGATAATGATGGACAGGTAAGTTACAACTACAATGTTTTTAATGTCGTTGAGACGACCACAATCCTTTGTTTCAATCTTGTATGTCCTTTTCGTTGCTGTTGTTGTTGTTGAAAAAGTATAAAAATTTTCATCGGATTAATTTTCGTAACTGGACAAGAACAAAGAGCTTTTTTTATGGAGTTCATACGAGGAATCGTTAAATTGTTGTCTGCACGGCTATACTTATGGAGCTTATTCATCCCTTATGTGGAATATTTGCGGAATGAAGATTTTTATAATTAAAAGTTGTCTTAAGCTTTTGTCAAATATTAGCTGAGCTAGTTTGATACCGAATTGTCAAGGTTGCACGAAGAATGCTCTATCAACACGTGTCCTTAACATTTCCATTGACTAATAAACGCTGAGAATCCGAATATATTAGGCGTTGAAATGATTTATTGCTAGATTCCCTAAGAAACGATGAGTATCCTCACTGGTACCGTAACAAACTCAAGTGTATGTTAGTGCGTATGTCACGGTCAGAATGAGTATCTTAACTGTCTCTTAGGGAATGCCATCAAACTTACTCTCTTTGCAAGTTAAGACCACTTTAACACCAAGCCAACCTTTTGATACTATTTTTTGCCTATTGACATCATTTATGAATGACCCTAATAAAAATATCTAGGTCAAGCTTACAATGAATCTCATTTGAACACTCAAAATCATTTCAAATCTCATCAATCACCAAAATCTTCCCCAAATCATCACAAAAGCTCCAACAAGTCTGATAAGATATCCATAATAAAATTCACCCCCTTCCAAAACTTTCCTAAGGGACACATAAACATGGTGTAGAATTGCTTGTAACATTGTTTTATGTTTTAAATGCTACAACACATACAGCATAAACGAGTAATATTTTTATAATGTGAATGTGCAATTGTGGTGAATTTACACAATTAAACCCCCCCCCCCTCCCCACCTTCCCTTGAAAAAAAGAACATTTTACTCTTGTCAGTGAAATATTTTCAAGCATAAAGCATTATACCCTTGTTCTAAACGCTTCGTTCACCTCAATGGCCTCATGTAAAGTTACCCTTTATATTGATTTTTTATTGCCTGCCGGGCATTAACATGGATATACGTTATAAAAACATGTGAAACTAAAATAAAGGAGATGAAAAATGGCAGGAGTTGTACGGATATGGAATGAGTAAATTTATTGAGTCCACATACGTAACGAACATGCTTAAAAGTTCTTTTTTAGTTCCCCTTTTCATGCATGTATGTAATCAAATTTTTCTCGTGCATAACAAAATATAATAAAAGTTGGATTCACGACAATGCAAAGAAGAAAAAAAAATTAATAAGCTTATTTTTCCTGACTTGATACTTTTTTTTAAGGAGAAAGCAAAATTATGAGGGCGGGAAAGGAAAATTTAGTAAGATTTATTCAACGAAATTGTTTCTCGAGCAATAACAAAGGAAAAAAGCCCCTTAAGGTTATCAAGGAGAATTGAGTTCAATCATGATTACTTTATTTTATTTTCTTTGATATTATCAAATTTAAAAAGCTTTTGTTTTTTCCGTAAACAAGTGGATGAAGAGAATGATTTTCGTGGAAAAGAATGGAGTCAAGCTATTGAAGAGCTTGAGATGTAAAAAAAGCGATTTAAAAACTCAAACAAATTCTTGAGCACCATAGAAGTTTAAGTATTGGTTAAGACTTATTGTCAAAGTTTTACTTCCGCTAGTTTTTACTTGGGAAATATTACTTTCAAGTTGCTGTTTAAGTTTGACCTGGTTTTGTCATTATTTGCTCTTTTTTATCTGCAATTGGTTTTTACTTCTGAAGAATAAACATAAAAGAAGTAAGTTTGATATTTTCAGTTTATATAGTTTCATTGTTGAATGCATTCTAAGGAGTTAAGTGACTCTTAAGAGAAATTTACAAAGCGCTCAATTACAAATTTGGCATAGTAGTTCAAAGCTCGCCGGTTTGAATCCTTTCAATTCTAAATTTGAGTTTTTTAAAGCTTCAACTTGTTATTGAACGATATATTGACGAAATTTGAGCTCAGTTTTACTTTTAACTAAGAAATGGGTCAGGAACTCGCTCTGAACTTGGAAAAATTAGACTAAGAAGTACAAGGTTATCCTGACAAATATTCAAACAGTTTAGCAAATCAACAAATCTAATCATTGATATGTCATGATGATAAAGGACTCAACACAAAAATTTTTAATAGGCGTAGGTTCGATTCTCACTAGAATTTCTAGCACATTCAAAATTATTATCATATAGATGGAATAGGCAGGGGCTGACCCCAGAAACTCTCTCCAAAGATCCCTGACAATATCATCCCTAAACCCTTCAAAATGATCCCCAAAAACCAACCCCCGACGATCTCAAAACCAAAACGTTTTAAAAGAATCCACATTCATTAAATCCTCTGCATCTCAATAGCTGTAAAATTAAGCCTCAATTAAACTTTATAACATACTCTGCCGTGACTGACTATAATCATCATTACCGTTCGCTCGTTTGTTGCTGCCACTCAGGTGCTAATATCCAAAGCAAAATAAAGCACAACACTTGTCAATAATGCACTGCCATGACCATCAAAAGCGTTTGCAAAACGTCCAAAAAATCGATTTTAAATTAAATTTTTAAACTATGCACACACAAAAAGCTATTCTAGACTTCCATAAAAAAAGGCTTTTAAGTATCACGAAAGTGTGTTTTTTTGTGTTGAATCGAGGGTGTGGAACCGATTGCGTGCAAACATCCGCAACAATTCCAACAATTGTTTGCTCACAGTACTCATTTCCATTAGTTAACAAAAGTGATTTTAGCTTCAGCTTACACTCCGACTGTATACAGACACAAAATCCACAGTGTTTAATCTAATTTAGTTGAGTATTTGAGCGGGTGTCTGATGAAAGAAGGCTTTAAAGGGGAAGTTGAGGAAATTTGTGTTTAATGGATTAGAAATGATTCCATTAAGAATCTACTGAACTAGAACTCAACTTTAATGGAAAATGCCATAAAGCAATAGAATCGCTCGAAATCTCATCGATTAGCATCAATTACGGGCACTAAATTTTTCACAAAGTTTCTTGTTTCACATCGAAATGAATTATTAACATAAATTACTTGCCACATGATAAATGATCTCCATTATTAGTCGAAACTTTCCGTGTGAATAAATTTATATAGTAAGGAAGAATAAGGTAGTGAAATTAAGGTTGGTGGTAAGGAAGTTTGGTTTGTTGGTGTCTAAAGCGCATTTTTAAGAGAAGCTTTATAGCTTAGTAAGCCTAAGTGGCTTTAGAAGTAGAGCTCTAGTCAAAAAACCTATTTGCTTACCTCTAGGAATTAAAATAAGTTGCAGTCCTGAAATGAGTAAAGTGTCAATGCGGATTTAAAGTACAAGCTATTCTTGTGCATGCCTTAATGTCCCTTTTGTCCTACGTATGTTCCATGTCTGTATGATCAAAAGCCAAAATAAGTTGGATACTTCCGAGTTTAGTGACAGTCATCAAAGATCATCCTTTCTTCAGACGCAGGTTCGATTCTCAACTGATCAAAATTATTAAAGCCAAACCTTATTAAATGCCTTTAATAATGCACCAACAGATACAATTATGTCAGCTGGCACCATCTGTCCATTCAGCCATTCAGAATACAATAGAAAATTCCACAAAGCATTCCATTTATCCTGCAACATGATGCTTTATCCTTAAGTATAATAAAATAAACTTCTTCTCATTAACCCGCATTATGAATCCATTAAGTCACGAAGGGGAAATAAATAGCTTGTAAAGATTAAGATGTAGAGGATTTAATTGCATTTATAAAGATGCACAAGACTTTTTACAATAAACGAGCTATTTGAATGTACTGCAATATAAATATATCCTCTTCAAAAAAATTTATTGTTACTGCCTGCAGCTCTTCCGAGAATTTTCTTCATTTTTCATCTGAAAATTCCTTTTTTGGTCTGCTTTCATTCCTCTCCGTGAATGAGGATGCAGAAAAAGTTTTTTTAAAGGAAATAAAGACACAAGTTCCTCATTCGAGTGAAATGAATTGAGACATTAAATTAAATGAAGAGAAAATGAAGCAAGCAGAAAAGTGCAATAACAATTCTCTCTCAGCAAATACATTTATCTGTTATTTTTATCTCTCATACAATCCTAAATTAAGTTGGAGAGGATGAAACAGCACTTATGTCCATTTCGGGAAGAGATCTCTTGAGAAATAAAAACTAAACTTATTTTCGTTTCATTTCTAAAGTTTTTTTTTGTTTTGTGAGAGTTGGTTCGGATGTTTTTGAAGGACAATACTCAATTTGGATAGACTGGAGCAATCTCCAAACCTTTCTTTACAAAACTTTGCTATAATTTACAACAAATTTTTCTATAATTTTACAGCACCTTGCTATAATTTTTCAATACTTTGCTATAATATTTCAAACTTTTACTATAATTTATTTCAAACTTTGCTATAATTTCACATAACTTGTCTATAATTTTTCAAAACTTTGCTAAAAAAAAAACAATAATTTACACCAAATTTTTCAAAACTTTCCAATAATTTATTTCAAACGTTGCTATAATTTTACAAAGCTTTGCTATAATTTTTGCAAGGCTTTGCTATAATTTTTGCAAGGCTTTGCTATAATTTCACAAAGCTTTGCTATAATTTTGTAAAGCTTTCCTATAATTTTAAAAAATTTGGTTTAATTTTCCTCAAAAACTTCCCGAATAGTCAACTCTGTTCGAAAATAGAGAAACTTCTTTCAAATTCACTGCTTTTTATGAGGTCAACAAGAAATACTTTTTTGTCTTTATTTCTCAATTTATTTTCTTTCCTTTAATGCGCTCATCACTATCCGTTCTCGTACTCTAGAACTAGTGTTGATCATCTTTAACTCTATTTTCAATCTTCTCCAATTTATTGAAACACGAATTTCCATCAATATTGAATTTTCTCTTTTTTGATTGAACTTTTCATGAAAGAATCGTGCTTTAAAACTTAATCAATAATCTAAAAAGTCAATATTGAAAATGATTTCTTATTAAATTTATCTCTATAATATTTTCAGGTTTCAGTCGAGGAATGGTGCAACATGTGGTGAGTTGTTATTTTATCTAATGCTTATCATTCAATCAATCTAATTTATTTTCATGAGCTAATGATGCTTATTTATGCTTCATTTAAATCAGTTTTTGATTAATTTGAATCTGTGATGCTGACATAATTAGAGTGAATTTTTGGATATACGGTGTAGAGCTGTTTCGAATTTTTTTTGAGATTTTTGCTAGTTGCTCGAATAAATTTTTAGATTAAGTTGTTAATCATAGACAAAATAGCTTGTTGGTAATAAGAAGCAAGTTTTAGAATAATACTCTTAGTAAATCAAGTTAAGTTCGAGTCCCACCTTAGTCACCCTTGTTTAAAGTTTATATATTTATCAGCTTATAAATTCTCACCTGAATAGCACAAGCCTGTTAATCGAGTAGAAATCCTGCACTAAGCTGACATGACTGGAATGGTTTTGTCTTCGATTTAAATCTAGCATCATGCCAGAGTCACACCGGTTTTGTGCCAGATTTTTAATCGATTAACCGACTTGTGCCATTCAGCCATTCAATAATATATAGTCACGATAGTTATGAATCATTCTACTTCACGGAATCAATATAATCAAATTAATTTTGAAATTTAAATGAGCATTGACACTTAAAATAAGCATCAAAAATTAGAAATTATTTATTCACTTTTTGCTTTTTCACAAATGACGTCAAATTTTTAAGGGGGTGAGTCTAAAGCTGTTTGTCAACCCAATCAATCCAAAAGCTGTCTACTGACCCAGATTATTTTTTCAAATTTCCTATGAAAGAGATGTGTAGCTAGAACTTCTTTGAGAATAACGCTAGCATAGTAAAGAAAATTTGAGGTGACTCCTGAACTTCTCCTCTTTGGCTATATCCCTGCTATGAACTGAACTTCTTTGTTAAACCATAAAATGAAAGTTTGCCAACTTTTGCAATAGAAATTAAATTAGTTTCAATGATTTTCTTCAAGTTTAACATTCAAGACAGGAAAATATGAGCACATGAAAGTTAGGAATAGACTTGAACATAAAGTTTTCAAAACCTTGAAAAATTCTGCAGTTGAAATGTGAATAAGAAAGTTTAAAGTATCAAAAAGGATTATACTCATCCTTAAAAAATCCACAAATACCTTCAGATGTCATAGACCTTTAAATCTACTATAAACTCGTTAAGAGCTTTTTCTCAAATATTTGGCAATGAATCAAGCATTAGTGCTCATGAAGCACAAACTCATGAACTTACCTTTTTTTTTGCTTCTCATTACCCTTGTCATACCATTATCTATTCATATCCTAAGACATTCAAAATTTATCGTCCTGCATTTATAATTTCATTTTCTTCCTAGGGACTCTTATGCCAAGGATCCAAGTAATGCATTGGAATGGCAACAAAGGTAAGAATCGAAATATCAAAAAGACTTTTTCTCAAATTAATTAAAATTTGCATTTCTATGACAGATACATGAACTTTATGTTCGACTTAGAAGATGCTTCAAACGATGGTGCTATTGATGCGTCTGAGTTTGCAATTGTATGCTCAAGCTATGGTCTAGACAAAGCAGAATGTGAAGATGCATTTGGAAAAATGTCTCAGGTAAGATAAAATAAACAAATTGTTTTTGGATAGGAAGCAAAAGTTTCTGTTTAGTATGCAAAATTTGTGAGGGTTATCACGTTGTTTGGGATTAGCAATTGCTGATTCTGATTGTGGATCTTTTGGGAAGGAGATATGCAAGGATTTGTATTGGATTATTCGGAATTTATTGATGATTTTGAGGATTACTAACTCGATTGGAGCTTAGTGGACAGTGTATAGATTCATGTGATGACTACTTGATGATTTTTGATGTTTTATCAAGCTAAATGTCAATAGATTGTCACTTGGATCTGAGTATGCTGTCTGCTTTGTCATTTAATGTCTATTAAAGCTAATGGATAGGATCCTATGGCTAATGTCATAATCTTCTTTGGTTTCTAGATCGACTAGCTACTTGCATAGTACTTAATCAAAATTCAGAATCAAATCATAAATTAAAAAAATTCTAAAATCAGTTCCTTTTTTACATCATTTACTTACTTCTCTGGCCGTACAGATCAATTGTGATCAATGGCTTCCTTTAGATAGTGCCTGAAGCTCTCTCTATCGCAGGCTATCGTTGCCAATTACAAATACAAAGTGTAATACTGTTTCTGTCTTAGCTTACATCAAGTTGCTTTAAATTATTTAAATCAAGGACCCCCTTCCATTTCAAACTTTAACTTAATTTAAAAATCCAAATAACATCCAAAATCGCCTAACTAGGCGTGATAACCTTTACACAAACTTTCATGGAAAATGCACATAAAGGAGGTAGCAAGAAAGAATCCATTAAAATGGCAATGCATTATTCATGAAATTATTTTATCTCATTTCTTATTTTAAGAGTCATGACATTTTAAATTTATATTCCATCTATACAGGGAGCAACTGAAGTTACTCGAGAACAATTTGCCGTCTTGTGGCAAGAATTCTGGCAATCCGACGACCCAGCAGCACCAGGCAACTTCATTTTCGGTAAAACGAACTTTTAACCAAGCTGATTAGAGTGTCTCACTGAATTTTTCAACTCAAAAATCTTGAAACAATTAAAACTTTAAATGAGATCAAGTTCAAGATTAAAATAGACGTTTAGAAGCAACATCATAGAATAAATATTTTCTTTTTTGGAGGAAGCATTAATATTATTATTTTTTTGTCGCCGATGCAGAAATGAAAACAATAAAAAATAAAACTTTTTTTGGTTTCTTTATTTTTTTTTGTCTTTTTTTCACTCAATTTGTTAAATAAAATAAGAAATGCTGCTTTTTTTGTGTATACGAGATGTTAACAGCATAATGACGATGAAGTTTAGTGTTATGTGTGACAAAGAAAATAGTTGATGAAGTATAGTCGAAGCAATTAAGCGGAAATATTTATGTAGTTTATGAGATGATTTATTTGTTATATGTGTTATAAGGTAGACTCAAAAAAGGTTTCTTATAAAAAAATATAAATTGAATTATTTTCACAACCTCAATGGGCAGCAATTCTGTTGATAATAAAGGTGTAAAATAATGTTTTATAGGTTATGTGGAAGAATGTGAATGTTTTTCAGCTTTTAACTCGGATTTAAATAGAATGCTGTATTGGGTATTTAAATGGAACTAGAATTTGATTATTGAGAGTTTAATCTAACCTTCAGGGGCCGGTTTTCAAGGCTATTTGGCAACTTCCTAACCTAGAATCAAAAATTTATCTAATAAACTTTTCAAGTGTACAGACAAAATTAAAACTTGACTCTAAATAGGGAAGCTACCCTAAGTATCCCTAAAAACCATCCCAAAAAGCATGTAAACTTTAAATTTCAACATATTTGAGTCCTTAAAAGTCAGAAACTCAAACCAAAAATCAAATCTACAACCATAAATTGCCAACCAATTCAACTCCTATTATTCCTCAATTTATAAACTCTTTCGTTGTCCATTGAACTACATCTGAGCATTACACTGCAACTAAATGACAGCATCAATAAGCTTGCATGTGGTACTCAGACTTTATATGTGATCAATTCTCTTACCTTACCGACATTTCACATTTACCTTTTCAAATTACAATTTGCCATTGTTACTTGGCTGGCTTTCAATTCCTGCACATTTTGTAGAACATAAAAGAAAGTTAATTGGCAAAAAGAGATGAAAATTGCTTGCCGTAAATTTTTCTCGGGTTGAGTTTTACACAAATAAAAGTTTTGGAATCAATGAGAAATCTCAAAGGTAATTTGGGAAGTCTTCAAAATGAGATTTTTCAACATGAATGAACATCAACTTAGAAAATGAAGGTTCATGAATGGAATTTGATGATTCTAATATGTGAATTTGGTACAATAGAACTGAATATGATTATTGTTATGAGATTCTCTGTGGAGGAAGTTGAAGAATAAAAAATCTTAAATCATTTCACAGGACATAAACAAGATTGCTAGTTTACATAAATTTGTATGCAATCTGTGACAATTTAATTCTCTGAAAAGACCTTTGGGGAGATTTAACAAGTTATGGACTAGATTTTTATTAGAGAATCTCTTTTAATGATAATAAATATGAATTTTTCATGAGAAGATTAAAGTTAAGGCTCAAATAAGATTCTAACCACAAACTTTTATGGCAAGTAAGTTTCATGCTTGAGAATAAGATCGAAATAGGAAGTAAAAGCTTGCATGCAAGTTGATGGACATTCTGGATCATTTTTGTGGTTTTCTGAAGTGTTATTATCATTATTTGATGATTAAACCACAAAAGTATCCCTAAAGAATGTTTATGGAAGTAAAAGGTTCAAGGACTTATGTAAAATTGCAGGATTATTAACAACTTTGTAGGATAATTGCCAAGAAAATGCAATTAAATTCTTAAATTCTGATATTAACAAGCTTAATAATTTAGCTCAATTGTGCTCATCATTTACAAAATCAATTACAACAAAAGATTAATTTCCGTCATCCTCAATTAAAATTCTCCAAGAAATGAAATTACGAGTTGAAAATGTCGAATCGGATTAATGAGACACTCTTAGTAAATAAAACAAAATAAAAAAAGAAATATTGATGAAATTTTATTCATTAGCCAAAAATGAATGAGAAGAAAATTTTTTTTGAATAAAACATGAAAAGAAAATCATGAAAAAATGTTAAAATACAAAAGAAAATTTTTAGAACGAAATATAAATCGGAAGAAAACTTTTTTAAAAGAATTGCATGATAAATTTAAATGATATGAAATGAAGTGGGTTTTTTGGAATTTGTTTGATTTTGAAAATGTGAAACTTAAACAAACATTGAAGCAAAGGTCCGGAATTGATAAATTAGAATTTGATAAATTTTGTTCATTTTTGATCATTTTTTGATCATTTCTGATCATTTTTTGATCTTTTTTGATCAATTTAATCATTTCCACACCCTTGCATTAAAGTAAGAATTTTTTTAAAATTTTAAAAGCTGAAAAACTATGAATCTGAAAATAAATCAGCCATTTTCAGTGTTAAGGTTTTTAGAATTTGAAGATTTCTTAGCAAGCTGTGGAAAAACTGAATTAAGGTTAGACTTAACGCTTAAGTTTGTAAGATTTACTTATTCAAAATAGCTTTTTTGTTTAAAAACTAGTTTTTGAAATTCAAAACCTTTAAGTTATTGGATATAATTTTTCAAAACTTAACATAAAGGTTGAAAACCATTTCTTAACAATTCAAAAACTTCAAATTGTGGGCAAAATCTCTTCATTGAGAACTTAATCAACATTTACTTTAAAAATCATAAAAGTCAAAAATCATTCAAATCCCAAAAAAATCACTTTCAACTTTAAGAAAGAAAATAAATTAAAAAACAATTTGAAAAGTAAACATTCAATTCATACAACACAAAAATATTAAATTAATGTATGTGTGTCAGTAGAATGAATTAAATCAGTTAATTAAGGCAAATTAAAAGATAACTTTTTAAAAATGAGCGACCAGATGAGAGAAAATTACTAATCGTAAGATCAAAAAAAAAATTAATAATAATATTTTAAGCTTTAGAAATTTTAACGGATCAATTCTATTTGAGAAAAATAAATAAATTTTTAATAAAAATGAGTGAAGTAAGGATTATGGGAGGATGTTGATGGGGATTTTACTGTAATGTTAAGATCTAATAAATTGTTGCTAGTATCAAATCTGAAACTAGAATCATATCAGCAAAAGTTTAAGACCACCAGAACCCCATCATTTCCTCCCCAAAACATATTAAACATGCGATAAATTTAAAAAAAAATCACAAAACTCACGGAATCGAGCAGAAATTCTTTTGTAAAAGATGAAAAACCAAAAAATAAATTGTGATTGATTGAGATATTGAGCATAAGCATAATCATATTTACCCCTTTTATCAAAAAAAAAATATTTATCCTTTTAATTCTCATGGCTCATTAGACGACTAGGCGAAGCTAAGATCGATGATACAGAGGGGACTCTAATGAGATTCATACTTATTGGAGTACATTGCCTGGTCTCTAACTAGCCATGAACGCACAAAAAAAATATTATAAAAAAAAACAACAATTTCTTCCTTCTACTAGTTCTCTAATTCTCTTCTTTTTATTTCTGTTGCCAATTTATATAAAGCATTAGAAATTACTCCTTAGGATATAAAATTAAATAATGATGATGATGATGAAGACGAAAAAGAAGAAAAAAACAATTGAAATTGTATTAATGTTGTAGGATTTCTATCAAAACAAATACTAAATACCGAAGTGACTTTGCAAATTCTGCTCTACTGAACTATTTATTCAGTTCTTCTCCTTTTTACTTTTATCAATAAATAAAAAAAAAATATGAAAAAAGAGAGAAAAAAAAACTTAATTTTCCATTTCATCAGCATTTCTGAAGGTAGTTTTCTATTTTGTGGTTTTTGCACTGTAGCATATAAATCATGCCTATGGTAAAATTGTTGTTCATTAAGGTGAATGATGTGTATGAAGTTTAATAATGCTTGAATTTCATGATGAAAATATTTGGGTCAATATTAAGGATTTAACGCAGAACTGAATGATTTCCTTAGGAAAGAATTTATTATGATCTGAAGGTGTTGATGAATAATTTCATTAAATTCAAGCAGTGGGTAGCCACAAAATAGGAGCTTTGGTCTTTGAAAAGGGTTTGTTGAATTAATTGATAGACTGAGGGGGATTGGGAAGGAGTATTGAGGCTTCAATACCGATGTTCTTTACTGATTTGTTGGATCTTTGACATTTGCTAAATGTCATCTTGAACAAAGAGTTCAGTCAGTCTGTTGTGTGGTTGGTCATTAAGGTTCCGTTTGTAAGTCAGATCTGTTTGAGGTCAATTGAAGTGGGCAGCTATAGAGCTAGTGTACTTACCACTCTGGTCGACACAGCTTTGATCTATGGTCTCTCATGGTATATGACAATTAGACAAACAATTGTGGTCTTGATAGGATTTGAACTTGTGACTTTGTTGAGTAACGATATTGTTCACTTATTATGGGGTCCAAGCATCTAAGCCATCCGAACTATTCCCCACTATTGACAGATTGTCATACATAAACAACGATTAAGCTCTTACAAGCTAATCTTGTTAAACACTAGCTTTGCTATAAGATTAATCTTCAATAAATGCTGATGTGTGGATTAATAAAGTAAAATCTCTCAAATTTCCTTTCCTTACTCATCATAAAAAAGTTTTTAAAAATTGATATGAAAAAGCGAAATAAAAAAAATGTGAAAAATTTTAAGAAGTCAAAACTTTTTTTTTATAAAAATGTCCTAAAATTATTATTTTCAAATCATTTTTAGACATTTTTGAAGAAACTTTTTGACCTCTTGGCATGAAAAATCTTATGAAATGAAAACAACCTCTCCTTTTAATAACCATTAAACTATATATCAATTCTAGTAATGAGAAAAATAAAAAAAAATTATATTATAAAAGTTTAATTATCAAACTGTCAATTCTTAAAAGCGCCCGAAAAAAAAATGAAACTGATATTTCCATTCATTCTACACATATAGCGTGAAATAATTCAAGAAAAAAAAACATAATAAAAAT